AAAAATATTAGGTATATGTACTGTGTAAGTCATAAATTTCCTACTGGAATTACTGACGTTAATGTTTAATTCGCATTTCTGACTCCAAAGTTAACTTTTACACACTTTAAACTTTACCCCTTTGTAATATGTATAAGGGTAGAAATAAAACACAAAAGTAATTTTTACACCAGAATGAATAAGAAATCCATTGTGTCACATAATTATTATTCGAAAGTGACTACAAAATTCAATAACATACAATAAAAAATACGGCCAAAATATTTTTTATATAAAAGTATCATTAGATTCTTAGAAAAAAACGTGACAAGATTAACTTATCTGACTCTCACTGTCAGATTAGAAGTTTATTTGCATGTATTTGATGATGTATTGTAAGATTGGTACAAGGTTGTGTTTTGTTTGAATATTTTTTTTAAATATAAAAATAACGGTGAGTAATAATGAAAATATCAAATTTATATACTATTCTTTATTGCACTTAAAAAAACAATTATTTATTGCATTTAAAAAATATGTAGAGTCCAAATTATGTATATATGAGTATCTATAAGTTAAAATTATAGATATAATTTTTATTATGCAAAAATCCTAAAAATTAAATATATACTTCTAAAACTTTGCTATTTTTTGACTAAGTTCATAAATGACGAACCTACATAATAATTTCTGTTGTATTTTGGTGTGTATATTATTACGCGATATTTTCGCCAATAACAAACAAACTTTCATAATTCTCTTTTTATTATGAAACCATCCTCGTACTTAATACTAAGATATGATATATGTACAGTTGTTTTATGACAATCATAATCCAGTATAATTAATATTACCTTGCGAGTGTACGCTGTTGAGAGTTGAGACCTCACAGTATATACTAAGGTCATTCCAATATCGTTGGGAAAGGCTTTGACCCTAACCTTTACTAAGTAGTAAATACTAAATAGTCACTCCAACCAACATATATAAATTGTTATTTCTTTTAAAAACAGTTCTTTTTTCTTGTATATGCATTCGAGTATATATATATATATATATATATATATATATATATATATATATATATGAGTATAGCAATACGTATTAATTCAATTATAAATGTATTTTTTGGGAAATGTAATCTATACTTGATGTTTGCTCTAAGTTACTTAAAAATGAATAATTTCAATATATGCTATAAATATTAATAGATAATAAGAAAGTTAACCTTTAACTACAGTAAGAAATGGCACATTCGGCCCTCACCCTCTGTACACTCACGGCCCACCTCACGCAAAATATAATTTACGCTTGGCTGGATGGGAAAAGGCAATAAGAGACGAGTAGATACTTCATTCTGATATATTACTTTATAATATTCAGTTAATCTATACATATAATAAAATTGTAACTAAGTCGAATCTGTACATTAAATATTTTTTGGAAAATCTTATTGAAATAAACATTATACAGAGGCCGAATCTATAGTTTTTAGAATTTTTGTCTGTCTGTCTGTCTGTTACCGCATCACGGAAAAACCACTGGAGGGATTTTGATGAAATTTGGTATAGTGATAGCTGGTTATCCGGATTAACATATAGGATACTTTTTACCGCGGTAAAATATCTCATTTCTGAGAAAAATTACATCAATATGTAAAACCTAAGAATTTGGTTTTTATTCATCTGAACGCGGGCGGAGCTGCGGGCAATGCTAGTTATGTTATAAATATAGTGTATTATTAATACGCAGACGAAGTTTTGTTAGTATTTGATAAGTACAATATTGCTTCTATTTCCTTATATACATTTTTCCGCATGCTTTATGTATAATCTGAACATCTTTACTAATATTATTACGAGTAATATCAAAGAGCGTTTGCTAATTTCTTAGTACATACTTGTCTTAGGCAGCATTGGTGTAATGAACCCGTGTGTGATTTTGTGTACAAATTTTATGTATATATATTAAATTTTGTATATATTTAATAATTTTATATATATTCAATTTTATTTATGGGCAGCAGAGTGTCGCCACGAATTTTTCTTTACATTCAGTTGTTCTCGTATGCGTTGTAGTTGGAAAGTATGGAGTATGGTTGTTAAAAGCTGACGTAAGAGAAGGTTAGTTATGTAATCGACATAACCAATATTTTACTTTAAAATATACATAACTTAAAAAATATTTTAAATGACAATAACAGCTAAAGCTTATCAGAATTGCTTGTTTATAGTTTGTTTACTGTACACAACAGTGTATTATAACGAAATTGACATATATAACGAAGTAAAAGCACTTAATGTTGCTTATGAGCAAAATAATCTTGCGGTAACGGTAGAAAGCTATTTTCTTCCATTAATAGTTTAACTCAGTCTTCATATTTGAAATATGGGAGAAAATAATATTAATCGAGTCTCCATAATTTATCTAACGATTTCGCTTTAATGATAGGATCATAAATGATATCTTGCTAACTGTTTACTAATCGTTCAATGCTACTTTTACTGTTATTAGACGGACGGACTAATAAAATAAATATAATTTAAATGTAAGCATTTATTATTACATCTATGTGATTAAGAACAAATAGGGGTGTCAAAAACATTTAGGTATTGAAAAGTACTAGATAGAGCTTTACTCAATTAAATATAAATGTATATATTAAATACTTCATTACATCGTGAACCAGATTTCTCTCATAGAAAGTTTTATCAAATTTCTTTGCATAGTTACGAGTAAAGCTAAAAAATGAACTGTACAAATAAAGCCCTAAATAAATGAAAATCGAAAATGCCATATTTTTACCGTATAATGCCCACATTTGGATACATTTTAATGCATTTCCTTCACCAATCAAATTAAAACAAGAATATATTATGAGCATCAAAGTCAACATTCCATTCAAGCCAGAGTTCCCATAGCAAACCCGTTATTTCTTTCATTTTTCATGCGGATTCCAAACGAGTACGAACACCTGACAGTAATAATTATTTTTATAGCGAATTTGATATTTAACTTTTTAATGTGGCAGTCAAAATGTTTGTCTCTTTGTCGCCTAGTGTGGGTTCAAATCCCGCTTATGATTCTTTATTATAAATATTTTACATCATCTCAGAACATTTGGATATATTTTTCAGTACATATGTATATGTGTATCCCTCAAGGGAACTTCTAAATTATGAATTAAAATAACCATATTATTTAGCTTAAATGAAAATATGAATATTTTGATAGCTATTAGAAATGGCAAGTGTATCAAGGACAGCTCTCACAAGGTGACCCGAATGCCGTCGTGCCTTCGACTCCGAGTCGAACGCAAGGTCGCGATATAAGGCTTTGCTCATACTCGAATGTTTGTCAAATTAAGTGGCACTACAATATACGAGTAAAAGCTATGTGTATTGACATTGCGCTTAACGATTATAAAACCACAACTTAAAAAAAATCAGGGTATTGAATTCATACTTATATTTTTATATTGAAGGCAAATTACATAAACAAATAAATACATCGAAGAAAAATTAATTTTTATGATAAAAAATTACTGTGGAGTAAAAAAGGCATGATGATGATGTTCTCCTAACCGATTCCGGCCACGGCGGCCAATCTCAATGAGATTAGCCAACTGCGCAGGAGATATTATAGTGCTCAAGTGTACGCGCAGACGCAAGTGCACTCTCTATTCCTATCACTCTCATACTCCGGTGGGACGACCACTCGACACGACCGGTGAGAGTTAAGGCGCAGGACCGACGGCTTTACGTGCTCTCCGAGGCACGGGGGTGAAACACCGCCAACTTCCCAACTCCGGGTTGTTACTGAGACTTACTATACAGGAAAACTCAATAACTAAACTTGGCCCGACCCGGGACTCGAACCCAGGACCTCCGGGTGTGCAGCCGTACATACTAGCCACTACACCACCGAGGCAGTTGAAAAAAAGGCATATGCTTGCATTAACAGATTTATGTACCTATAAATACAATATTTCGTAGTTAACTCAAGGATACTGAAGGTTTTATAAGATTAATAACAGCTCTCGTATTCGTTCCTGCCCTAATTTCAATAAAAACGTGACTTGATCAATCAGTCTTGCAAATTCTGATATTAAATGCTATTTATTAGCATTGATATCATTCATTGTCTGAACGACCTTTCCAACTAATTGTTATGATAAAAAAAAACTATCGATTTACGAATTAATTATTTTTATTACTCTTTTGGCACGAAATCTATGATTTGATGAAGATATATTGAGAAGACGTTTGTTTGTAAACTATCAATTTAATCCAATAATATGTATTCATTTAGCTTTTTTTTAGCTAACATGCTCTATAAAAATTACTTGCGAAAAGATTATAATTTTAGAAGACAACTACATGGATATTTTTAAAGAGAGTTACATTTTTAAATTTAAAAAAATGTAATAAGATCCCAAAACAATTATTTTGACATTAATATAGTAAAAGTATATTTTGTTTTATTTAAAGAACTTTTAGTCTATCTATACATATAATAAAATTGTACCTAAGCCGAATCTGCACATTAAATATTTTTTTGGATACAAATGCATAATAAAATCTTATTGAAATAAACATTATTATCGATACAGAGGCCGAATCTATAGTTTTTAGAATTTTTGTCTGTATGTCTGTCGGTCTGTCTGTTACCGCATCACAGAAAAACCACTGGAGGGATTTTGATGAGATTTGGTATGGTGATAGCTGGTTATCCGTTCAACATATAGGATACTTTTTACCGCGGGAAAATATATTATTTCTGAGAAAAAAAATACTAAAACTGCATTGTAAGAGTATTAGTAGTAATATGTAAAACCTAAGAATTTGTTTGGTCATCTGAACGCAGGCGGAGCCGCGGGCAGTGCTAGTAGAATATATTTTGAATTATATTTATTTTAAAATTAAACTTTATTTAAAGAAAAATTATGGTTATTGATCAACATCTGGGCCGTCTTATAGTATAATTAAATATATCTAATAGAATTTTCATCTACCTTCCAGGGTCGACGGACGTGGAAATGCCATCGTCACTACTCCACTCCATACAAAATCAGATGCAGAGCAAGGGCGGGTACGAAATGGCTTATGGTGTTAAGGTGAGATATATAAAGGTTTTTTTATTAAATTTAATATCTAAAATAATCTTTAAAGTGTTTGTCTAATAACTTTCTTATTATTTTAATGTTGTATGTTTATGTTTGTCAACATGTTTGTTATTTTTTTACACATATTGTCTTATAACTTGATTTAAACTTTACTTAATTATAAATACAAAAATATATTTGTATGTTTGTCTTTTTAATTTACAACAACGGAATTGCGATTGGACGGGTTTTTTAATATATAATTGCATAGGAGCCTCTGATAGATTTTGATAGATATTAACAAACTGATATAATACACTAAGATCTGACGTGTAGCTGGCAATACATACTAAATATAGTACCTTAACATTATTGAGTCAATTCTTGCTAAAGCAAATCCCTCCACGTACTTAGCAAGTTCTATTTTCTCAGCTACAACAAATCTAAAATTTAGAATAATAATAATAATAAAATATCAGCAGTACAGTAGATGTACTGCGCCGACCCCAAGTGATTGGGAAATTGGCAGGGAGAAGAATAATAAAATGAATGTCTAAATAATTGTAGTAAATTAACATTGATATATATGTGTCTTTAACGTTATGATTTTCACCTTCCAGGTTTACTGAGAACGGCGGCCCTTGTCCAAAGACGCTAGTGGAAACGAGTGAATTTTGATTATTATGATCTTAATATGTATTTATTAAAGAACGCCTAGTTTTAAGCTTAATTTACGTTATGTATAGAGAGTCACACCGGAGTTAAATGTATATGAGTTACCTAAAGGCAAGTAATGCGCGCACAGAGCTGTCCTTTACCAAATAAATACGATAAGTTCTTGAACGACAGTTTTCTAGGTATTTATAAGTTATCAAAATTATGACCACTATGGTGCTTTAAGGAAATATTTAGATTTGATTTAATTCAAACAACACTCGTATATTAGGTCTCAAAAAGCATTTACATCCTAAAATGTACGTAACTAAAATTATATTTTTTAATTGTTCAATTCAAATCGTCCTATACAACCTACTAAAATAGATTAGCATAAATAAATATAATTAAATTAATATTTCTGCATTTTGTAGCGTTTGATGCTCAATAGCCAAAATTATCATGTTTATATTTAAATTATGCATGTTTATATCGTAACATTAGTTTATGTACCAAAACGTAGAGCAAACTATAAAAATCTAACACTTTAAAAGAAAAATATAACGTTTTTTTACAATGACATTTATTCCCCTATTATTATGAACGAATGAATGGGTATTGTGTGAACTCTCTCAAGACAAATGAGTGCCCTACACAATAAGGTGCTATATATTGTTTTCGAGCGTTATTAAGTGCTGATTTGAGATCGACCGAGAAGGACTGCTATACTTTCTAATCATCTATACATATAATAAAATTGTAACTACGCCGAATCTGTACATTAGATATTTTTTAGAAAATCTAATTGAAATAAACATTATTATCGATACAGAGGCCGAATCTATAGTTTTTAGATTTTTTGTCTGTCTATCTGTCTGTTTGTTACCGCATCACGGAAAAACTACTGAAGGGATTTTGATGAAATTTAGTATGGTGATAGCTGGTTATCCGGGTCAACATATAGGATACTTTTTACCGCGGGAAAATGTCTCATTTCTGAGAAAAAATATAAAAACTGCAATGTAAGAGTATACTAATATGTAAAACCTAAGAATTTGAATTAAATAGAATTATAATATTATTATTGCTGTTAATGAGTGAACGACTGTGCCTTTGCGGCCTTCGTAAGGGATGCAGTAAAATGTTCAATATATTAATAAGATCGATAGTTTGTGTGGTCGTGTAATTGTTATAAAATATTAATATAATAAACAAATCAAGTGTTGAATTCAGAATTATATGACGTTTACAGTACACTTAATGGAAACTAAAGTAAGAAGTGTAAACTGTAATAGAAGAAAACTTGTCTTTCTTAGCATAAAAGGCATGTTTAAAGTAAGGAAATAGCTCTAATTATAATTTGTTTTGTATTAAACGATAGAAAAGCCAATTGTAATCAAATATTCATAAGAGTCCTGTTACACTCGTAGTATTGTGTGATTTGTAATATAAAAAAGGGTGACAAGTCACTATTTTCTCTCTTACTCCTTAATAGCGAAACCTGTATCAAGAATTTCGATATAATCACTATATAATGACGCCAAAAATTGTCCATTTAATTTTTTATTATTTTGATATATCCATTGTCACTCTCACAATTATGACGAATCTAACGACATCTCACAAGCTAAAATCGATCAAGCCGGGGATACAGAGCGTGCCAAAAAAATATACATACATACACACACTCGAAAAACATAACCCTTCTTCTGACGCAGTCGGGTAAAAGCTTATTATTATCTGTAAATGGTATATTTAAAGGCTCTTCGAAACTCTTGATACATAAGATTCCTTTGAAATATAGGTAAATAAGGCCGTGTGAGTTTGAAACTTAGTCGAAGTATTCTCATGTATATATTAAGGTGTTTGTACTGTATCTTCCACGTACGTAATTTGTCATCTGGACGCTAGTAATTAAATTCTTAAGCTTTAAGCTATTTCGGAAAAACTTATAAATAAAATTATAAGACCCTACAAATGGCTCTCAATTTTTTTAATGTTTACTCAAAAAATATGCTGTAAGAATTTAATTAGTAGTGCCTGTTTATTGTTATTTACTTTAGGTCTTCATGCCCGAACCTTTTTGGGCATACGAATGACTAAATGATTACACACGACAGTAGATTATTAACATTCATAGAGTTTTGTATCTATTTACATCCATCCAATTAGGTTTAGACAATCTGTTAAAAATTTTGTCATTTTATTGTTAAAACGACAAAGTTAAATGTAATTCATAGTTATTTATATACATTGTAAATCAATATTCTTTTTGGAAATACGAAAAGATTTTTGTGTTTTATTTCCTACTTGCAGGTCATCAATCTATCAAAAAACAAAAAAATATTTTAATCCATCACCCATAAGGCTTTGGTGCAAACTTTTATAGAATAAAACACCACATCACTTCAAAAATATTTATTTGAAAATATAAACAGAAACATTTCCATCAAAAAAATTCAACAATTCATCAAAAAGTTAAACTTAAAATTTAACAAATAACAGCCTAATTTATACAAAAAATTTACTGATTAATTAAACAAAATGTACATATATTTTTTACATATTTCGAATATAAATTATCTCGCGCATCATCGTTTTCTGTGTCTGTGTTCCGAGCGGGCACCACTGGGCTTAGATTTCTCTTTATATCTCGAATCGTCTGAAAATAATTTCATAGTAATTAACATAAATAAATAAAGCAGAATAATTTTAAATAGCTAAAGTTCAGAAAATAATATCTTTACAATATATTTATACTATCCTAATTTGCTTTACTTTAGACAATAAAAAATTTCACTCTCGCTCAGGCGAAAAGTAACTATATGCCAACACTATTGAAATATTTTGCACCAACCAATCTCAAACCAATATATTTGATTTTACCAGATTCTTAATTTATATGTTCAGTAATGATAAAAAAATTGTGCGAAGTATCATATAGGGTCAATGAAACAAGTAGATTAAATACCTGCATAATTAAAGTTAACTTTAAACTCTTATGACTTGTTCATGACAGTCTATTCGGTAGCAGGTTCAAATCCTGCGCAGGATTTGAAACATGTGATGAAATGAATCCTCTACTCACCACGATCTCTATCCTTGTGCCGATGCCGTCTATCCCTGGATCCTCGTGAATCCGGTGAAGATCTCCGCCTAGGGGACTCTGGCTGACCTTCGCCCGTCCACCACCACGCTGGTGGTGCCGAGACCCGAGACCTTAAGGGGGAACCCCCTGGGTATCCAGGTGGAATTGGTGGCATCTACATACATACATACATGGCGGAGTAAATTTTAGACATACTAATTTAAAAGACGTAGGGGAAATCTCTGAAACTACTTATCCGATACTGAAAATTCTTTTACAGAAAGCTATATATTACTGCTGAGTAATATAGGTATTTTATTATTCCAATAAAAATGTATTTACTATTAGAAATCGTAAAAACTTTAATTGAATCCGGAACATAACTGGCCGTGCGCTGCCTAAACGGTTTGTAATAAAGCAATAAAATGTACAACAAAGACACCTAGGGACTTAATTGAGAGTCGCTAGTATTTTGATATTTTTATTACGTAAAATTAGTAAAGACAATACATACAGGTGGATAATTATATGGCATTCGATAATGCGGGGCGGCGGGCGGTCCTTCGCCCTCTGCGCACACAAGCGGCGGCGCCGCCATACGTGTTGGACTTTCTGATGTCGCCAACTGACATATTAAAATTTAATCAAAATTTATACATTATAGATATCTTAATATATTTTGTGCTTTCTAAACTTTTAAAGGCCAATAGGTATAGATATCTATACAAAGACTATCGTTTTTATTTCTATGCGTAGTACTATATACATAATAATATGTTACTCAGGCCTTTAGTGTCCTTCATTTATTTTTATGAGCAGTATAACTGTGGAATGCAAACAGTATAAGATATTTATATTCCCATTTTAATAATAATAATAATTTTTAATATTAGTTACCGACCACGGCCTATGACCAGCCTAGACTATTTCAGTTCTAAGCCTGAATTTAATCTATAAAAGTAACTGGGCGAGACGAGCATCGCACGGAGTTTTTTTTTGTACAATCGTGTTTTTTTAAATATATAAAGAGTGCGTCTTTTCAGAACTTTTTTGTAGGTGTCTAAAAAAATTCTGAAGATTTCTTCTACATAGATAAACTTAAAAAGTAAAACCTTATCTAAATACAAAATTTGATCCAAATCGTTTGAGTTGTTTCTAAGATCCACGAAATTTATAAATATACTAGGTACAAGAATTACTCATTCTAAGATGAATCATGTAGGAGTCATTTACATACGAGTAAATAATTAAAGAATACAAAACTAACTCTACTGAATAGAATGTAACCTGTTGCTTTAAGTTGTTAAAGTCGTTGCTCATATCTCTGTATCGCTGTAAACACTCCTGCCACATATTAGCCATTTCAGTCATTTCCGAGCGCTGTTTATTTATTTCTTCCTAACGGACAGTTATTATATCTATTAGAAATATATAAAACAAGAAATGTGATAATATAATTTTCAACAAAATATTGTTAAATTAAGAATGTTTAAGAGTAAAAATGGTAATACAACTATATAATTAAAAATGAAATTATCAGCATTTCTATGAAGGTTTAAATCGAGTTCCATCAATCGATACCATCATAGCTACTTTATGGCAAAAAAAAAGAAAAGATACTTAGACGGCAAAGGCAATTAACCGCAGTCTGTAATACAGGCTCGACCTAGTACAGTCGGCAGCGATATTAAGTTAAATAAATCTTACGCTTTACGTCGCGCTGTCATTTAAAGATCATATTGTAATTAGCTTAGTCTAATAAAGTAACTTGTGCCAATAAAGTTTTTATTATTATACTAGCAGTACCTGCGGCTTCGTCCGCGTTCAAACTACTAAAAAACAAACTGACACACCAACAGCAGCGCCACCTACCTGGTCCAATTGTGTTCTCAAACCGTCCAGGGCCCCATTGAAAATTACATACAAAATTTCATCCAAATCGGTCCAGTCCTTTAGGAGGAGTAAGGTGACAAACACATGTGCAGAAGAATTATATATATATTCGAGTATTAATATAAATATGTTCACCATAAGCCTGGCGTCGGTGTCGCCCACGTCCCTCGCGACCGTCTCATAGCGACGCATACACTCGCGCCACAGACGCAACTGAGCCGCGGCCGAGTCGCGCATACTCGCTGCTGTTTCCTACATAATATCATTATCAACTCAAATGCTAATATATTGTTAACTGATTTCTAAAAAGGAAGAGGTTTTCAATTCGTCGCAATCTTTCTTTTTTTTATGTATGTTCACCGATCAATCGAAGACGCCTGAACCGATTTGGAAAATTCTTTTTTTGTTTTAAAGGATAGAAGATATTTTCGAAGTTGGTGCCAGCCGACAATACTTTAAGATATGATATCTAATAGGTAAATATGACAAGGTATGAACTCTAATTATAGTTAAAATATTATACTTAGATACATCAATTTGTGATGTATTTTACGTATCGAAATATCACCGACTTCGAAAATATCTGATTACGTATCTACAATCTACATATCCTAAATGAAAATCCCCGTTTAGTTATTTTTTGTATCTTAGTGCCTGGAAGTCGGTTTTTATTTTGTTTTTTATGTTTTTATCATAACTAATTTTTGGTTTCTTGTGCAATTAACTACTCGGCTAAACCCTGGCTCTCGTCTGGCTGTTTTAATTAATTCGACAATACTGTTTCACGTATAAGCACACTTAAATTCATTTGTAAATTTGAAATGGCTGAATGTCTTAAAAATTAGTCTTCGACCTTACTCTCATATTATAACATTACAAAATATACTGACAATTTTTTTGTGCTTACAGTGCGGCGGTTTGATCTACCAAATTTATGAATCAGTAAAAACAAGTCAATAAAATCATATTTCTTATAAAACTCTTAACATTCTCGAAACAGACAACGCAGAGCCTAAGAAGCCGCTTGCGCAGAATTTGAGTTGTACAAAATGTTGGTATTTATAATGATCTGAGCACCAAAGATCTAATGGGGTTAAACTAGGGTGAAATTTTGTACGGGTGTTGGAATTATAAAATATATAAATAAAAATACCATGGTATTAGCTGCTTCCATAGAAGAACAAAAAAGTGGAATATTATTTTGTGAAATGAAGCCTTACATTGGTTTTATCTGTGCCTTGAACTTGCGAAACTCCTTTGAAACAACGCATCAATTCTTTCCATAATTTCATCATTTTGTCCATAGCCTCTCGTTGTTCTGAGATTTCTTGCTACACAAACAAAAGTATATGAAAACTTTCATAATAACATTTACGTATAATCTAGTAACATTCGCGAGACTTACTTTAACAACACGTAAATAATTACTTCTTCCACTAACAGTACTGGTCTCACCATCGGCTACACTTAACCCAGAATCTCTTTCTCTTTCGGAATACCTGTCTCTATCACGATCTCTATCTCTGTAGTTATCATCTCTTGACGCTATAGACATATTCTCAAATCTTTCCAAATTACGTCTCGATCGACGATCTTTAGCTGGTAATGAAGCATAATTTTTTTCTTTTTCTTCGTAATACTTGTCTCTACCTCGATCCTCATATTTTCTATCTTTATAATCTCTTTCATCATAACGTTTATCTTTAACGCCGTCGCTTCTAGCTGTTCTGCGATAACTCCTCTCATCTTCTACGTAACCATCTCTATGTATTTCAAAACTTCTGCTAGCTTTCTGTTCACACAGTCTTCGTCTTTCGTCATATTTTCGTCGTTGGTCGTCGTAATCCCTTATATCTCTCCGATCTGGTGCGCGAGTTTTGTAATGTCCGTTAAGGCAACTTCTGGTGGGGGTAGTTTGCGGCGGGCAGTCATGATATCTATCATCATCGTAGTATTTTCCCGGCGCTACATTAGTTTTACTAGAATATTTTGGTTGTTGCTTATCATAGGGCTCGCAACAACCACATTTTTCATTTCTATTGTTATTTGTAACAGCTATATTATCATGACTTCTAATTCGATTATTAAAATGATCGTGGCTGCGCATCCTGGACGGTGACATATTGTCTCTGGAGAGATCTCGACTGCGAAGTTGAATAGGTCTTTGATCAGCTTCAAAAGATTCCCGTCTAGATACAACTTCACATTGTAAGGATTTATGACTTTGAGATCGCGGCTGGAATCATTGATACATTTAAAATAATTCTCTAAAACTAGATAACCAACAAAATACCTGCTAGTTATAAAATAATATGCATATCAATCTTACTACATCATTGGCGTTTGCATAGAGCGGAGATTTTTGATTCATCTGGGCACACAATTTTGCAAAAGTTTCAAATAGTGTTGCTTGATCAATTTTAGGAGCTTCATATTTATTTAATCTGTATAATATTTAAACAATATTAATGGAAAATGTCGATAAATTACAAATCAACAATTTAGTGAATGTTAATTTAAAAACAACATTACTTATCACGATCTCTAGTCTCGTTGTCCCGATGACGCCTATGGTGGTGCTGACGCTCCCTTATTTGGGATACGTCACGTTCTTCGTGTCTTTTGGTGTGACGATGCCTGATGTTCAAAGTTTTAAGTTAACTATGTAATATTTTATATAAACCGTGTGGAGTTTTATCAAGACTTTTTTTTAACGTTGGGCAATGCATTTACGCACGAAGTGTGGGACTCACCGACGAAGCCAGTACTACCCACTAAAACCCAACAAAACAATCCCCCGTCTTAATGGGGCGTCGCAGGATCGCTTACGCATTCAACTACGACGCCCCGACGGCAGGTCTGCCGAAGCAGACCACAACAACCACTGGGTTGCTCCAAGGTCCACTCTGCTATCAGAGAAGTACCAGGAGCATATATATATTTAAAACGTACCTACGAACCCGAGCGAAGCGAAGGTGAGCCGCTAGCAATTAATACATTGAAAACTTTTGTAGAGTACAAATACAATTTTGCCATAATAATGTTTGAAACATTAGTATATGACAAAGTATATTATCGAATAAGAACTGCTACCGTGCTAGTGTTAAATAAATTATAGGTATTGTAACTCTTATCATTAGTTACGAACTCAGTCACTAGGGAAATCTAAACACCGGCAAAGTTTATCAACTATCACAGTTAAACCGGAACAAGTACTTATGTACACGATATTTTTTTAATTTTTAGGTGCCTATAGATATATTAAAATGTTTGTTCACATTTTTCATACTAGCAACCATAAAAATATACGATTTCATGATTTAATTAAATTGAACGTTATCCACAGAGTAAATAATAATTTTATCTCCACAAGTTAGTTCTGCAACTTGCCGTTATAGAAGTTGCTCTACGACATATAATAAGTCCATATGTACCTACCTACCTGCTTTAACAATTACTTTACTCACTTTTTCTTATCCCGTTTTATAGCTTCTTCCAAGAAAGCGTAAATAAATGAATCTTGATCTTTAGGAACAGAGCCAATAGCATCTTCTCCTTCCTAAATGTTAGATATATTTTAGAAAGCTATCTATGTAAGGCAAATTAGTTTTTGTAATTCTATTATCTAAGACCTAAAAAGGTTTTTACCTGAGGATTAGGCGATATAGATCGAGGCGTCGACACCAGACCAGCTTTTAGAGCCAAAGATATACCTTCTCTTCTGCAAATTAATTGTTTAATGTATTTTCGTAATAACTTCAATAAATTTTCGCGATCTCGGAAACGATTTTGCTGAAATTTGGTATGTGGGGGTTTTCGTAGGCCAAAAGTCTATCTAAATTAGTCTTGTGTGGGAAAACGCATGTTTTTTAGTTGTAATGTGGTTTTCTTTCGTGTTCCACGCAAAATGTGGTCGCTGATTTCGCACGTTCGGGCATAAGCATGGTAGTTAAGCGGCCAAGGCGCAAGATTGAAAATAAAAGGTGTCCGGGTTCAAATCCCAGTCGGATACAAAGGTCGGTCGGAAGCTTAGTCGCCCAGGTTCTCGATATATTATTTAACATTCGTCTTTATAATAAATAAACTTTGCAATTATTTATAAGCAACAAATGCTCAAATTATAAAATAATATGATAAACTCATACGCAATACGTCGATGGCGACGCGGAGACCGCGGTCGATGTACTTCAACTGGCGACCGAGTCATAGACGGGCTACTGTCTCTTTCCCTGAAGAATAATTCTTACTTTTAGCGCTTAATTAAGAGGATCGTGAACCTGTAAATTTTCATACAAAAAGCGATAACGTTTTTCCCCCCTTAAACATAGTCTAATTTTCATAATTTTTGGAAATGTTGTAGATATAATCAAAATCTAGGTCCGTACGTTTTTATTTTTTAGAAATATTGCGTACGATAGAAGTTATTAGCATCTAAATATCTATATTTTTGGCCTAAAAACTTCCTCCAGCGTTTTTATTTTTTTAAATTAAACTAAACTGAATTACAAAAAAAGGAAAACGTACAGACCTAGATTAAGGTGTACTGAATCTAATGAGACCAAAATCGTCTCATTTCGTTAATGTTTAGGGGGGTGAAAACGTTATCGCCCGAAACAATATTTCAAAAAGGAAATGTAGGTAATTGAGTCTAAGACTTGCAACTCTCTCTATCGCACCATACGGGTCGGGGGCAGGGGCATATTTTAGACTGTAGTGATGTTGAAGGTGCTATCGATATTATTATCTCCTAGGAAGGAGAAGGTAATATCGATATATCGATCGATACTGAAAGGATTCAATCCAAAGTTTAGAATTTTATTATATTCGTATGTATAGATTGTAACTAAGCCGTATCTGTACATTAAATATTTTTTGGAAAATATTATTGAAATAAACATTATTATCGATACACAGGCCGAATCTATAGTTTTTTGAATTTTTGTCTGTCTGTCTGTATGTCTGTCTGTCTGTTACCACGTCACAGAAAAACCACTGGAGGGATTTTGATGAAATTTGGTATGGTGGCAGCTGGTTATCCGGATCAACATATTATAGGATTACCGCGGGAAAATATCTTATTTCTGAGGAAAAATACAAAACTGAAAATATGTATATATATATATATATACAGGGTCATTTTTAATTTACTGAAGACCTTTTGGGAATATACTATTTACATCATAGCAACAACCTCTGTAACAAGAAAAAAATATATTTCTTAAATTTTCATTTTCATACAAAAATAAAAATATTTTCTATATCATCATCATCATTATATCTGGCCCTCCACCGGTCACGCGCTTTCTTTTGCTAATTGCTGGACTATTACCGTTTAGAAGGAGCAATAAAAATACTTTTATTTTTGTAAAATTTATATTTTTAATTCTATATTCGTTATAATTTTATGAAAATTATTACGAATAGTATGTGTATAATTATATATATATATATGTATATATATACATACATATATATATATATATATATACACACATACTATTCGTTATATTTTTTTCGAATTTATCGATATTTTATTAGTTTTTGGAGTTAATTTTATTGATTTTTCTGAAAAAAAAATGATTTTAGGCCAATTACAGAAAGAAATGAAATTCATTCGTAATCTAATCTTGTTTATTCATTAGTTAAAAATATATTTAAAAAAATAAAGTTGATATATTTTATAAAATTTAGTCATAGATTTGTTAAAAAATCGTAAATCATCATCATTCATGATCAGGTCATTTTATGAATTTCTATTCCTTATATACCTGCTAGCATTATAAAATCATAAAACTTCAGGTTTTCAATAAAAAAAATATTTTAAAAATAAAAGAATTCCGATGGGTCTATTAGTACATAAACAACAAAAAATTCTAAAACTTTCAACTTTAGGAACGAGATTTTTGTAATTGATCTAAACCACCTATTTATTTTTTTATGATTTTTTGAAGTCATCAATCTGAACAAGTCAAATTTTAAATGATATTCGCCACAGAATTATAATTTAGAGTTATTTCAGTTTATGAATAAAGGTGCGATGTAACTTGTAGGGAATGTATATTGTACGCAAACCGTTAAAATAATAAATATTAGATAAACTTTGAAATTGCTCTTGCGCCGAGTCGCACCGCCCCCGCCCCCGCCCCCCGCAAGCGCCCGCGCGTTACCGGCTGCTGCTATCATAGTGTGTGTGAGAATTTGCGTATGTTGTATTTGTGTTGTTCACTGCCGGGGGGATGCAAAGCGGTATGAAACAGATAGCATTTTTTAAAATACCTACTCTCGCCGCGTATCGGCACTTCACAATCCTCTTAATTACTAGTTTTTAATATTTTCCATTGATATTAAAGAATAATTCTTACTTATAGCGCTTAATTAATTACTAGTTTTTAATATTTTCATTGATATTAACTAATAACTTACCCATGATTCGCTCGATTGCATCCCTAGGTGCTTAACAGTAGCAATAATATGTGTTACTGCAGGCCATAGTCCACCTGTGTACCTACTTATCCAAATCCATCCAGCCGCTTCGACGTAACGTAATAACAAACAAACAAACGTCATAGTTTTAATTTTTTTTTAATATGTTGAGACATTAACACACAGCACCGTCTAGTTCCATGGTAAGCTACGAGGTCTGTGTAGTAGATACCAGAAAGTTGATACACTACACATGTATAAAATTAAATACATACAATTTACATATTATAAATATAAACACCCATGTCTGGAGTACAAACATGTGCTCATCACACAAATGAAACCAGCGGTATTCCAACCCGCGATCGCTGGCACAGCAAGTAGGATCACTACTAACCGAGCTAAACGTGTCTTCAAACAAAAATATTAACAAACACAGAATTGAAGCTTTAGTTGGCTAATTCAGCTACATATGCCTTACAACTTAGTCGCAAGTCATTTCTTTTTTCATTTCAAACTAATATAGAAGTATAGAATAAAAATCAAATTAATGCATAACATTATAAAAATAACCTTTTATTAACATTCTCTTGCTTCCCTTCAACACCTTGAACCGCAGAGATATCCTGAAGACTCGTTTTAGCAGAGCTAACCCTACGCCCATTACCTTGACAGCCCTAAAATGATTAATGATAATATTATTGTATTAAAAAAATAGTCCATAAATACATAACTCTCGATTAAGAGGGACATTCGTATAGATTGCACATTTCAATGAGTTTTAACACGAATCGGTAACAAATTTAATATATTATTTAGTATGGAAGATTGTTATCATTTTTCATGGCAGATTGTATTCGATTTTTAGACGCAGAGTTCCTCATCTTATGCCAACACGACAAATTGCACACAGATGTTTATTCCGCTCTTTTTATTTTTAACCTACTTCCAAAAAGGAGGAGGTCGTATGTTCGTCTGTATTTTTTTGTGTATGTTCATCGATTACTAGAAGGCCCCTGAACCGATTTGGAATAATATTATTTTTTGTTTCAAAGGGTATACAGCATACTTCCCAGGTGATCCCATAAAATTTTTATCGAAATCGGTCGAGCGGTTTTAAAAAAATAAACATAAAATTATTTTTAAATAAAATGAAGTCGGTTATTATGATTTTTTTAAGTTTTTATATTTTAAGAAATGAATAAAACTTACGAATTATACCCAAAAAGTACATGAAATATTCTATATGTTATCGCCTATGATTTTCGTCTACACCTACTATCACAATATCGGTAATAAGTATAGGTACCAAATGTATACATAGACTAATAAGTAGTGACTTACCTGGATGCGTCCCTAGGTGCCTTATAGAATACACATTGCCCTTATGTTACTCCAGTCCAGTTTAGTAGTAAATTCCATTTAAATCCGTCCAGCCATTTCACCGTAAAATAGTAACAAACATATACACACATATAGGTACAAACTTTCATAATTATAATAAAGGACATTATCAGAATCATGATCTTATCAATAGTATACTTACGCCCGTAGAATCATCTGTAGCCATCGAGTTACTATCATCTCCGTCACGTTTTTTCCTCGTGCGTTTACGTTTTGATGCATCAAAAACTTTAAATAATTTTTTACTATCGCTTGGCTGACATTCCATCTTATATCTTTGAAAGGATCTCTGATCATCTGTTATATTCTACTCTATTACATTATTCTTACAGCTTTAAATATCATAATATAAACAATTTTATTGTAAAAATTAAATCGGAATTTTAATAAAACCAAATAATCATGGCCAGAAACCAAAGTGACGTTGTTGCTGAATTGAAATAAGAATTAAGTTTAGTGACGGATGTTTACAGCCAGTTCTATTTTTTTAACAGACTTCAAAACCACGATATTCTATGTTCATCTCTATGTATTTGTTTTCTTATATTTTTTCATACCCATAAACTTTAGTAAAATTAATTCTATTATCAGACTCGAGTCTAAAATATCCAAGCCACGTTAAATTAAATGAAATTTTGGAATAGAATGAATAAATCTATACAAATATTATAAAGAGACAGTTTGTTCGTTTCTTTTAACTTCTATCATATGGTAAAAACTAACAAGTCTATCCAACTAATAACTCACGCTTTACTATTTCTTTAATATTAGAATGCGTGTATATATATTGTGACATTTTTACAGTTGCATCTTCTAAACCATTTTTTATGAAACTTTGTACACATAGATTTACATCTTAGATTGTATTTCTTTACTGGAAAAGAGAACAGTTCCCAGTGTTTTAGAGGTTTTTTAAGACTCTATTTTACTTTAGATATCTCTTTATGGTCTCTAGTATCAAGTATCAAGAAGTTTTACAATGTTACACTATTTAAATATATAATTGGTTTAGAATTCGTAATAAGTATACGATTTTGTCTGACGTATATACACTATTATATATTAAAACTACTGCTATTGTTCAACCAATTTTGATAAAAAGTTATATTTTCAGCAGATCTTTTAAAAATTGTTGTTTCAGAATTTTAATAGGGTAAAAACAAGCACAACATAAGTTACAAACAGATTTGCTTTTCTTTAAGGAGACCTTATCTATAGTCCTTTTTTGCATAACATGTTAAGACTTTAACATGGAAAAAATAAAATTTCAATAATTTAGAACTCAGGTGTGTGGAAATCAGTAATGCCAATTAGAAAAAAAATAATGAAATCAGATTCAATTTCAATATATTATAGATTATTGTAATAATTCACATTAAACTTAATTAAAACTTATAGCCCACATAAGCTCCTCACTGTTCACTACGTCCTCATAGACAAGGCGCTAAGGTACTCGGTATAAAATATCCATCATAAAACCAATAAACAGATTCAAGTCCCATTTTATTATAAAAATCAAAATTACGAGTTATAATACATCTGTTTCTCAATCGAACAATAGAAATCGATTATAGCACATTGACATTCTTGTAAATAAATCATCATGGACATAAATAACAAAAAATCAGATTGTACAGCCTAACGAGACCGTCCCCGGCCCGAGCGCCCCCGAGCGCGGCGGCGCGTATTCTATATGTACACGTACCCAGCGGTAGTCAGTCTGTGCGCCGCCGCGCGTCACTCGCGTCACTACACCGCACTCCCCGCACTCACGCACACACTCACTGCTCGTCCGCGCGCGCGTCGTCGCGCTGCTGGCTGCAGTGGTACAACACGTCAGCCAGCTCGTGCGCCACCTTCTGGTCCAGGATCTGGCTCATGACGAGCGACAGCAGCCGGCGCTCGTGGCGACGGATCAACGGGCGGTTCTCCGGGTGCTCGGCCAGGCGCAGCAGCGTGGCGGCCGCGCGCCGCAGCATGTCGAGCGAGGTGCCCATCGCGTCGGGGTTGTCGCGCAGCGCCGCCACGCCGTGCTGGTTGGCCACGCCCAGCGCCGTCTGCTCGGCGCGCTCGATAAAGGCGACCAGCTGCGCCACGGCGGGCGCGTGCAGCGCCACCTCGCGCGCCGCGCCGCCGCCGGCGCCCGCCAGGTAGTGCAGCAGGTTGACGGCGAATTCGCGCACCACGGGCCGCTCGGGGCGACACAGGTCCCGCGCCAGGCCCGCGCACAGCGCCGCGATGCGCCCGCGCGGCGGCGTGGCCAGCACCAGGTCCACGTTGGCGTCCGTCACACACAGCTTGCACAGCGCCTCCAGCGCGAGCCGCCGCGGCGACAGCGGGCTGCCGGGCGAGGCGGCGGGCGGCGCGTCGCCAGCCACGGCCGCCGGGCACACGCTCCAGTGCAGCAGTCCGTCCAGCAGCGGGCGCGCCACCGCCTCGGGCTGCCCCGCCAGCTCCACGCTGCCCGCGATGTTGGCGCAGCACACGAGCGCGTCCTCGCGCAGCTGCGCCAGCGCGTCCCACCACCACTCGCCCTCGCCGCGCAGGCTGGAGCAGCACGCGTCCGCGTCCGACTCGTCGCGCGCCGCCCGCTCGTACGCCCGCGCGCGCGCGGCGCGGGGTGCGTGTTCGTGGTGCAGCAGCAGTAGCTTACCGGCCAGTGCGAGGAAAGCGCCCGACCGCGAAAACTCCGCTTCGTTTCCGGGCACGAAGGTCAGGCCGCGCAGGATGTTCGATAGGGCGATACACCGCTTGGCAAGGGCGTCTCGCGTCTCGTTGACCAGGTTGAGGCTGGGCTCGTCCCGCGTGTAACACTCGTCCTCGTAGTCCTCGAGCTTGCGACGCTTGAGCACGCCCGCGGGGTCGCGCACCTGCAGCGCGGGACGCCTCTCGGGCTCGATGTCCATGGGCTCGGCCTCGAGGTTGTCGCCGTCGGGGCGGGCGGCGGGCGCGTCGGGTTGGGCGGGCGGCGCGCGCGGCGAGGCGGGCGGCGCGGGCGCGGGCGCGGCGGGCGCGGGCGCGGGCGGCGAGGGCGCGCGCCGGCCGGGCAGCACACGCACGAAGGGCAGGTGCACGAACTCGCCGCGGAAGCAGGGCATGACGTGCGCGGCGGCCGAGTCGCCGCCGAGCTGCCAGGGCTCGAGCACGTCGTCGACGGCGCGGTCGGGCTCGGGTTCGTCGGGCGCGAACAGTTCGTCGTGGGGGCGCGCGGCGAGCGTGACGGGCAGGCGGCGGCGCGACTGCAGCGTGTAGTTCTCGCCGGCGAGCAGGCGCACGCGGTCGCCGGGGTCGGGCGGGTCGGCGGCGCGGCGCGCGCTGGCGGCGGGCTCGGGGCTCGCGGGCGGCGCGTACCACGGTTCGCTCTCGGCCGCAGGCGCGTCGAACACGTCGCCGAGGCTCTTGTGGAAGTGCTCCAGTAGTAGGTCGAGCAGACCCGGCATGTGCTGGAGGCCGAAGTAGCCTATACAGTTGTCGTCGAATAGGAGTATGTTCAGGATATCGAGGGCCCAGCACGTTTCGGCGAGCAGGCCGGACTTGAGCGCCATCATGATGCGCCATGCGTCGACGGGCGCGACGTCAGTTTTCGTCAGTCTCCGCCGTTTCTCAGCGGAAGGGACCGTCGCTTCTACACATTCCGCTGGAAACGTTAACTCCCTCTTGATTTGACCCACGCCAGACGCTGCGCCCTGTCAACGAAATAAAAAATATTACTGATCAAATAACAAAGATAAGTTAGTAGAAAGAACCCAAAAATAGTCGCTAAAAGCAAAATTTTTAAATTAGGTAATCCGACCCTAACATGCATGAGAAGATGACTGAGATATAACATAAATCTTATATAAAGACAACAAAATGACTTTGAAAGTTTCAATGACACAAAAAATTAGTCAAAAAGACAGAGTTTATTTACACAAGGAAGAAATGAGTTAAGTTTGTCTGCAAGTGAGTGAATGAACGATGAGTGATCGTGAACTCACGGGTGACTGAGCGGCGGGCGGCAGTTCCTGCGCCGGCCGCGGGCCCCACGCGCCGCCCGGCGTCTACAACACCCAACCACGCGCGTTACTACCCCACTCATATTATACACATATTTTTTCGCGGAATATAAAATTGTAATAAACATAGATACTATAATATAAATAGCGGCTTTAAATAAATGAACTACTCATGAGACATGAATGATTTTGTGATGAGATGATATAAAGTCGCGTTATTTAGACACTATTTATAAACCATTTATGGCTAATAAAGGGTTATTTCAAAATTTCAATATGAATGATACTAAATAAATAAATAAAAAAGGGTAACTTACCGGCGGATGGTAGGGTTGATGCTGGTGATGGGGTGGATGGGGCCACGCGGGCTGGTGCTGATGCATGGGCGGGTGCTGCAGGGGCCCGGGGGGCCGCCACGCGGGCGACGGCGCGGGCCGCTGGTAGCCGGGGCCCCACGCGCCGCCCGCGAAGCGCGAGGCCCCCGCCGCACCTGCGCCGGGACCCGGATAGGGCCCTTCCTTAGCGAAGTCCGGGTGACGTCTCGGCGCCCCCGCCGGCGCTGCCGCCGCTCCCCCGCCAGCACCTCCCTTCATATACTTTACGTTTACTACTAATATTATTATAAAACACAAGTGGTTCCGCTAAGGTTTTTTCAGTTTTAATTCCTTATAAATAATAATAAAAATAAGCAAATGTAATAAAAAAAAATTAATTGAATTTTAAAATAATCTGAAAATACAAAATGTACTAACTTAGCCTTAGCGGAGACCAAATATGTAGTTAATTCCAAAGTGATAATAGGGGAGCTGAATCAGTTCATATACTTTTTACAAACTGTACCAAAGTCCTGTAACTTTAGCTACATTATAATTTATTGTGAAAACTACATTTTCAGCTTCCATATTATTAGTTTTTGGTTACTCTAGCTCCGAGCCCAGTATGTGACCGTAAAATTAATGATGTAAGTGTCCTGAACATGTCTCAACGAGCCCTCGAGGACAGTTGGAACACGTTTGAACACACCGCATTGTACAAAGCTACGACGTCGCTGCTCCACTTATAGCTAAGCTTATATGATAACTGTGAAAGCATGCAAATGATTCAGTGACATCTTATCACGGTAAAGCCACCACCACACACTCTAAACCTTAACTTCCATATTTTGTTTGTTTGTTAAATTTTGAGTCGGGTTTTGGTCCGAAATAGTCGATTTTGCGATCGGAAATCGAGAAGCCAATTAATCACACCGCAAGCCAAAATTTTGTTAAACGAAAACTGAAGAAAATTAATAGTGACAGCTTGAAAATTTCGTTAAGCGAGTGGTATTATTTATAAAAAAAAATTAAATGAAGCCAAAACCACGGATGAGTTCAACAACCCTCACTGCGGGTCTCAGGTAACCCTCCACGCGGTCGAATAGACTGCGTGGTGCATTACAAGCGACACAAACACCACATCATAATTGGGTTTTACTAACATGTACCTACAAATAGTGTCTAAATGTATGATGTCTATATGCCATTATAATTGTATAAAAATTGAGTTTAAAACGAGAGAAAAAATGACAATATCTATTTTTTAAGTAATTCAAAACTAGACTGTCTAAAGAAATTGCTCAAATAGAACGATAGAGGCGTATCTTCATCTATATAAATAAAGTATAAATAAGAACATGTAAGTTATCAATTTGGCAAAAATATTTTTTCAATTCAAATTAACGCCTTTATTGATCTGAGCATTAGTGCAGGATAAAATCATATCCAGTGTCAAGGGACCTCTATTCTAGTAGTCATTCATTGTGGGGAAGTGCCCAATTACGATGGTGGTGTAGTGGTCGGGGTTGAAACAGTGTAGCCAACTTGGGAACAACTGGAAGGTATTCGTGACTTTTGGATAGGTTTTATTATTAAAATATAATATTTTAATCATATGTAAATGTCTCGACATGCTTCACTGAGCTATTTTTTTTAATATGTACAATATTGTTAATCATTTATCTTTGCAAATATTTGAGAATAGAATTTTAAAAAATCCTTTCAAAATCAAATCAAAGTATACTTTATCCAAATAGACTTTTGAGAGCACTTTAGAATCGTCAAGTTTAACATTTTCAAAATTAATTTCTTCTCTATAACCAATCAATTATTGATGAACACTATTAAAATTCAAGCCCGCTAGGTAAAGAGATTAAACCTAGACGTTGTTCAATCAACTATAACGAAAAGTATATTTTAAAATCTCTAAGGTTTAATCTACAGGGTGAGGGTGAGGGTGGGGGTGAAGGGTGAAGGGGGGTCGGGTAGGTTGGCCACACCGCCCGCCGAACCGAACGCCAATGGGGAAGCGGTGTTGAGTGCGTGGTACAAACGTCCGTACGTAGGGGCGGGCGGGCGCCGGCAGCGGCGCCACGAGCTGGCGCGCCAGCTGCGAGCCCAGCAGGCCGGCCGCGCTGCCCGCCGCGCCGATCTACACCAACACAGGGTCACCTTCACTCTACTGATCCACACAGTCGCCTAGCCTACCGACCGACCGTACCCACTGCCATACATACCTACTTTTATATGACAGTCGAGAAACGTCTTTAGGGTCGACTATAACTTGCCATCGTATTATACTAAGGCGCTTTAACTTTCAAACCATGAGAATTATGATTTTTGGCAGCGTTTCCGTTAAAATCAATGGGCGACGGCCTACTGTATGGATTTTTATACTGTGGTACTACTGCCGGTGGACCCGCTGTGCCAACCGACAGACCAATCTTTTATATATAAACACTTAAACGAATTTTACAATCATATAACCTTTATATGATCAATATTTTATTTATTTATATTGTCACAACGGATCCCTTACGTCCGACCGATGTTACAATTAAACTTACGCAACAGCTTGAATACACTGGATTACAATAAATACCATATGCTGTAAAATTGTATGTTAAAAAAAAAGTAATCTTACGAGAAACATTCTTCTTAATAATTAAGATATTATACTTATTTCAAAATTCATAAACTTACTATATTGTTTATGTAATATAATAATAATACAGTTATGTTAATGAAAATATATAATTCCTAACATCCCTAATACTCTCAGAATGTTGCTAAAATAATATGAAAAATAAATATATGTATAACTATAAATAATTATTTCTTTAGTTATCTAGTGATTTAACAACATACAGACAACATGATTAAACAAAAAATAATTAATAAAATAGTCCACATCTTATATCCTAATCCTGCAAAAACTAAATATGTTACTATTATGTATTTTTTTTTAATATAATCATTAGTTTTAACTTTATTGTGTCATGATGTGTTTTGATTCTTGATTGTAAATAAAATTTTAAATTACGTAAAATTACGTATTTATATTAATTTATCAGTCCCTATCATCTATATATTTTGTTTCTTATTATTATTACAATAATCATCAATTAAAATTTAAAAATACAAGAATTCACCTATGGACCCAAGTGGAACAATTTCATACAGCAAACTTTTTCAAAACACTACTCAATTAACAACGAATTAAATGTATAACAAAAAAAAATGTAATCGTCATAATTTAAACGTATAATGGATAACGCGTTGCCACACGGATACGCACCTCATGCTGCGGCGAGTGCTGCGGGTGCGGGTGCTGCGGGTGTTGCGGATGCTGCGGGTGCTGGTGGTGGGGGTGCGGGTGCGGCGGGCGGTAGTACTCCGGGTAGGGCTGCGCGGGGTGCGCGGGGTGCGCGGGCGCGGCGGGCGGCGGCTGCGCGGGCGCGGGCGCGGGGGGCGCGGCCGCGGCGCCGCCCGCCGGCGCGCCCGCTCGGTAGCCGCCGTAGCTGTACCGGTACTCGCCGGTGCCGTAACCCCTGGGAAATGGGAATTAAATTTTCATGTATAGATTATTTTAAGATGTTACATTACTTTTTATGTAAAGTTACATTACTCTTCGCCTATGTGATACTCGGGGACAAAATCATCATCAATCAGTGTGTGGGAGGGGAGTAACAAACATATACATACATATATGTATACATACACACAAACGTTCGCATCTATAAAAGAAGTCGGATATCCGTATGGTTTATTTTCTTACTTTATAATTGAATTAAGTAATATTATGAATATCGTAAAAAAATGCAATAATAGTAGATTAAAATTCGTACACACCTGTCGCCCTCTGGACCATAAGGTGGGTAAACAGGCCTATTCGACGGATAAGGAGATCCATATTCATACCCGTAACCTTGTTGGTAACCTGTAAACCAAGAAATATTTTATCATTACTTAATAGTGATACATGAGTTACCGCAATAGGAAGATTAATTAAGTTTAATTTCTCATTTTTTTTCTATGTTATGACATCTACGATATACATTATTTATATGTACATAAAGTATGCTAAAGCAAACAAAGGCGTAAATAGAAGCCAGTTTATCACTATTGTTATTAAAAATAACTAATTTATGAATTTACAAAAGCTCATAAGCTGTATTTCCATTATATTATGTACATTCATAATTATGAACAAGCTGTAAGTGTAGGATCACACGAGATGAGTTCAACAACAACAAATATCTTTATAACTTTTGGTAGAATTTATTTAATACAGTCTGTATACATATTTAAATATTATATGATATATCGATTATTATAATATATAACGATATATACATGCTATTATTTAATTGATCAAATCTCGTGCTATATGTTAGTGTAGTTTAGTGTTAGGAGTTACTTGACATTTTAGAGAGATTCGCTATAACTATCTGTACATTGAAATAAAATTATTTTTATTTCTACAAAAATTTGGAAAGGACAATATTACATAAAGTAGGTATTAACAACAAAAAATAATAATTTTATTTCATTTATATACAATGGGGGTATTTCGAGCGTGATGTCCATTGAGGGTTAAGGGGGTCGAGCGTGGGGTCACAAACCTGGGGGTCGCCTGGGCCCCGGCGGCTCGTCGAACGGGTTGGAGGCGGCGATGTCGCCGCCCGGCCCGCCGCCTACAACCACACGAGGTTATACCACCCGTTACGTGCAACGTGAGGAATCTACTGACGTCTATACAATATGTATATATAGTGTTGTACTCGTAAGCGAATTGTAACTACGATCTTACTTTACATTTTTTTATATTAAAAATTTTACAATAGTTTTTGGGAAAAAATGTCAGTAGATTTCCTAAAAAAATATTAATTTTATAAATTAAAAGTCACCATCAAAGCCAAACGTTCTAAATAAATATAGAGAAGTACAAGTAAATTACATAAACATAATATAGTCATGATAATATTTTATTTCCATGGTGACGTTTAAATATAGTATAAATCTATAGTGCTATTATTAAGGAGTTAGTGACAAGCAGACTAAAGCCAAATGATTTGTTAGCTTCTGTTATTAGAACAAAACCGACCAGACTTATAAAAATCACAAAATACTACTGTAAATAAAATAATAGTCGATATATTATCCTGTCTGTTTTGCTCTAACATTTAATGAAATCGAATGATAAATGTTAGTTGAGACCGCACAAATAAAATCAAGCACCGAGCGATGGGAGTTATTCTTAAACCACACGAAAGCGGTTCGCTAATACTATATCTATTTAGCGCTCATTTACAGCGTATTACATAGAATTAGTCCGTGCAGTCGGTTAACTAGACGCTAGTTCGTGGTGTACACTATAGGGGTTAACTAAAGCTATTTACATATTTATAATTTGTATTATATTATAGCGTATATTTAATTAATCTTTTCAGTGTGCAGATGTTAGCTAGAGCAAGTTTAGTATTCAGAACCCAAAGGTTATGGAAAAGAGCGATAAACAACATTATTATTTTATATTGAAAAAAAAAAAAACTATTTTGCATAGGAGTGTGTGTAGTTAAAGACAAATATAGCAGTATTAACTATAATGATAAATTATTGTGAAAATTCATTTATCGTGTGATGAGAGATATGAAAAATATTGTTAAAATGATTTTATATTTAGATATTTCTGTATTACTAAAACATTATCGAATATATGGAAAGTAACAATGAAACAAAAATAGAACAATAATTTAAAATAATCTATTTTTACTTCGATAATAGCTGTTATTATTATTTATTAACCTGTAATATATAACTGTTAATGAATTCATAGTTGATCCAATACATATTTGTAAAGTAAACAAAAAACCGTAGAGACAGCTTTGTATCAACATTGGTGTACCATATGCATTAAAGATACCAGTAACTAATAACCTCCACCAATAAGAAAAACAAGACTACTAAATAATTAGGAAATATGAATAAAGTGTAATGATATATACATATGTACAATGTACATGTCTTTACATGCAATGTTGAGTCAGTTGGTCACAACATTATACATGTCATATGACTAGGCAACGTATTGGTTTATATATTGAGTTTAAAATAAACTTTTTATCCGGCAAGGATGGAGGAATGAAGGATATCCTTAGTTTGGATCTTATGACTATATATTATGAGTGTAATAGTGTAGCGGTTAATGTCCACACGAGTAAATGTCCCTACAGATACAAAGCTTCATACAACTGCGCAACGATACGAACACTACAGCTACATAAGGCGGCAATGAGTGCGTTTTCATTTCAGCGTGCAGCGTTCGTAGATTGTCGGCACCTCAATAGTTAGGGAGATTGTCAATACTTCGAAAAATTCCATTTTATTAACGGGATTCGCGTACATAAATTCTTTTGTAGATTGTCACGCCGACCTATGTAGTAGCACAGTCTATTAATCCATACATTCGTATAATGAATATGTCTAGATAGGTCAATAGGGACGCGAATGGGGCGATACCGACCGTCATATTTACTTTTATATGACAGTTGGGAAAAAGCTTCAGAGTTGACGAGTATAACTGTGCTCTGCCACGAGATGGCACTACAGTGATTTAAAACGCTTCGCCATAAAAAATAGTTAGACAACCTTCGCATTTAATAGGATTTTTATTCTATACTATCATTGGACGGTTACATTAAGCTTTGTCTCTGTACGATAGATTGTTCACTAATGTCAGGACAATGTATGTATATTGTATATGTATAGTACAGTGCAGTACCTTGCGGCTGCGCGGGCTGCGGCGGGTAGGGCGCGTAGTGCGCGGGGTAGCCGTCCATGGGCGCGGGCTGCCCCGCGCCGCCGCCGCCGAACTGCTCCTGCGAATTCGATGACCCTGGAACACGTGTTCAACATCTTTTAGTTTTTCAAGTAAAACTTGTTTACACACGCTTCACTCGGGGGGAAAGCAGGTGAATGCGTGACGAAATCTGTAAATCAAGCGAGGCGAACTTCTATTGCCATGGTAACCGTTGTTATTATCTCACAAATGTTTTATAATATTATATTCTTTCCTTAAATGACATTCTATAAATATATGTTTGTAATATGCGTTATTTTTAGTATCTCACCTATCCTACAGAAATTTTATTTCTGGCGCGTGAACAGATTCGTACACACTCTTTAATTTTTTTCATAGATGAAAAGATTACTTTATAAACCAAACGTACTTTACATTACCAACTTCAAAAATTATATGCGAAATTTCTTGAGGATCACGAAAATCAAATTATAATTGGTGAAGATATCACAAAGAAAAAAAAACAAACACCCGAATTCATGTCCTTTTAAAAGTCAATATGAATAATTGAAGTCAGTAAATATGTAGCGTGAAGAGAAAAACCATTAAGTAGACAATCTATAAAATGTAAAATTATGAAGTGTACATAACTTTTGTTTAAAAAATAAATTATTATTAAATTATTTATACACTATAATTATTTACCATACATAATATATTGCACGTAATACTATCGCTTATTTTATTGTGATTACTATATAATATTAGTAGATCTACTATATATTCGAAACACACTCAAACTGACTAAACTAAACATATTATTTAAAATACATAAATCTTATGCCTAGCAACACTTATTACATGTCACTAATATGTAAATATAGTTTCAAGCTATATCCTTTGAGAATTAGAGAGCACGTAGTTATTCACAACAGCGCTTCTCACGCACAATTACAACTAGAACTAAACCCATAAACAACGTGGGTGTCGACGCCTAACTTTAATCTTTTGATTGATTTTTGTTCTCAAATTTCATTAAAATTACTTTTACCCAAAAGCGTTAAATCTGGCACAAAATAATCCTTTTCTTAAAATTGAGCCCATTTCATAAAGTCCATCAATAAATAGAAAAAGAAATCGAAAGTAGGTCAATATATAAATGTAAATAAACCGCATAAAACAGGAACAATGACATAATAAAACTTTCGATCAAGGCAAAAATAATATTATTAAATGATTTTTCCTGTCTTCAAGGATCGACGAGATTTTTTACATACAGACATTATGTTATTTTTCGGTGAGTGACATAATATGCCTTTTTGACACAGCAACCTGCATGTCTGAGAGAACCTAACTAGTTTTCCTTACTAAAGAAATCCGTCCACACTTAGGTAGTAGTAGTCTATGACCTATGGCCTTTGTCACATTAAGGGGATGGAGCATGGGTATGCTCGACCAGTGCCAGTGAGACATTAAAAGGGATCAATTATTATTACCACCTAGCGACTCACCCTAGCTTCGCTCGGATTCGTCCCTAGATACGTTTTGATGATTAGTATGGAATAGACAGACTATATACATAAGTATGAAGAGTTATATATTCCTTACTTGAAGAATCATTGATTCTTCAAACAAACTACCACAACCTTTTACACCCCTTTAAGGAATGATGTCCGGGATAGAAATCATTATATGCCCTCCCCAGGGTCTCATGCCACCAACCACCTACCAAATTTCACATATACCAAAATTCCCATATACCAAATTTCATCTAAATCAGTTCAGCGGATTAAACGTGAAAAGATCACAGCACGAGTTATTAATATATCTACACTAATATTAAAGAGGTAAATTTTGTGAGTTTGTGACGTTGTAGGAGGTAAATCTCAGGATCTACTGATCCAATTTAGATGAAATTTGGTAAGAAGATAGTTTGAGACCCCGGGAAAGACAAAGGATACTTTTTATCCCGAAAATTATCCCTTAGGGGGTGAAAATGGGGATGAACGTTTATTTGGGAAATTAATACTACAATGAGTCGGAAATATTCACCTGCACTAGCTGTATTATTCGACTTGCCGCTCTTCTTCTTGGTGGACGCTTCCACCTGGTTGATGATAGGCTGCGGGTCGATGCCGCCGCGGTCGAAGTGGCACTCGTACGCGAGCAGGTTCTTCGTGTAGTGCTTGCGCAGCGTGTACGCGGCGGACGACGACGCGCCGATGCCGAGCAGCCCGGCTATGTCCTTCCACGTTTTGTTTTTTGTCACCTGGAAATTTTAACATCATTATAATTATTATTATTAATGCGTAACTTTATTTATTGTTTGTTACATCTTCACGATGTAAAGGATTCGAATGAAATTTGCAATGTAGATAGATTGAAATTACAGATTAAAACACATATGCTACCGCGAAACCGCGAGCATAATACTCTACAAAAATAGGTACTTTATACACACAATGAAACTAAGTATAAGACTATAAGAAAAAAATATTAATTTATGGGGCATTTTTACGAAATTAACAACATTATGAAATAAATAAGCGGTAAAATATTACCTTTTCGGATACAATCTGACAAGAAACACCGGCGAGCATATCAACAGTTAGTTGTAAACTCTTTCATTTAACAACACAATCAGTACATTCTGAACGCGAATACAAACTCAATTCCAGTAAACATGTACCGTCACGCGTGAACATAAAGTATGTGTAAGAAGGTAAGAGCGATAACTCGAACTGAGCGAATGGAAACTCGCCATGATGTTATATTTCCATGTATGTATAAACGGCACGTGAGTCTCTCGCGAAGGCCGGCCTAGTACTGCGGTAACGGAGTTGAAACTTGAATTCGAAGCGCTCTCTAGGAACGGTGTGATGATAAAAATTTATTAACTATCGTTAAAGCGTTAGCGGCGGCGGGTTTATGGTCGGCTATTCACATAACGCGCCGGCACATGCACTAACATAAATCCGACTAGAGTCTATTACTCTCTCTCTCTCTTGAGCGATTTTAATGCCGCCAGTTCGCTCATTAAGAGTTAACGTTGTGAATATTCGTTTAAAATATATACGAGATGCTTTATTATCATTCTTATTAAGACAAAAGGCACGTGTGTACGGCATGTTTGAAAATAAATTAAATTTTGTAAGACATTTGTATTTTCATATATAACAAAAACGTGGTGTAAAGTAACAGCTCTGTAGATTTTATCTCTTCGAGTTAGTTAAATATAATAATACAAATGTAAAGTCTATTTAATTATATAAATGGCTCTGCGATACTAACTTTAGTGAAATACGTAGACTAATAATAAAATAATATAATAGTAAAAAGTAAATAAGTAATAGGACTCACAAATTAAGATATTTGTCTGCAGTAAAAAGTATTTTATATGTTGACCCAAATAACTAGCTAACATCATGCCAAATCATCAAAATCTATCCAGTGGTTTTCTTGTAATGCCAGACAGACAGACAAAAAATATTTAATGTACAGATTTGACTTAGTTGGAATTTTATTATATGTATATAAAAATATGTATATAAAACATATACATAAATGTGATAATATCCAAAACAACCATTGACATCAATACAACAAACTCCTTCAAATTAAATCTCATACTGATAGTATAAACTCAAGCCTGTTCTCTTCAAAGAACATTAATTATTACTTCGTACAGCAATAACACTTCTACATTATTAGAAAAAATAATTGCACTTTGTTTTCTACGTAATTATACACCTATAATACTATCATCAATTAGTTTTTATTATAAAAAAATATTGAAAATGTGCAGTAATCAGCTTACCCAAATTGAACTTAAAGCCACAAAGACACCAAAATTTACTTAATGTATATATAACTTTGTAATAAATTAATAGAAAAACGTGTGTATGTACTTATGTACGCACACAAGTTATACTTATTTGGCGTAACAGAACAAAAATAGCTAAAGACTTCATCCCGTATGTCACAACTCTCTGTTTGTAAAAGCACGCAAAAGCGGCTAACTTCATCATGTCTTATAAGAAAAAACTAAGCAGTATACGCATACAGACCTCGACGAAGCCGCCGCGGTCGCGCACCAGCAGGTAGAGGCGGTACAGGTCGAGCGGCTGCTTGGAGATGGTGGGGCACGCGGCGATGGGCGTGCGCCGCTCCTCCATGAAGGCCAGCAGCCGCTCCACCCACCCGCGCCGCTCCGGCGCGTCGTCCATCTCGTACAGCTTGCCCAGCGAGTCCGACTTCTGGCGCAATGATACTCATCATACACACACATACACACACACATATATAGCGAGCACCTCGGTGCACCTCAGTCTGTAGAGTAAGTCTACAGACTCTAAATAGTATCAAGTGTTAATTTCAAAAGTCTTTCATTTTATAAATCTAATAGTGTATTAGTTGACAAGAACCGATACACTATTAATTATTATAATTAAATCGAAATATAATTTCATTGAATTAATGGTGCACAATTAATAAAAAAAGTACTCAGATGCGAAATTGGAAAATTTAATTTTAACTTTAAAATTATTATTTATTTATGAATTAAAAGACGATAAAGATGTTATCAATAAAAACAACTGCCTGTAGACATAATTTTTGCTAATTTTAATGTGATATTGCATATTGTTAATAAATTATAGCTTCGTAAAATACTATTTTTTTTAAAAGCACCACAGGAAAACATTTTTTATATTAATAAATTATTAATAAAATGCGAAAATAAGATGTAAAGGGAAGAGCATGCTCTACAATTGCGAAATAACAAAATATAGAAAAATATTTTCTATATCAAAGTAAAAGTATCTGTTACAAGACCACCTCAAAAGAACTGCAATACAAAGAATGACGCGTAATCCTCAACATAAGACCAACACCAATAGGAAAAATAGCTGGAAGCACAACAGATTGTAGTTTTTAAAGCTCAAGCAGCAAATTTTGATTAATTTCGCATAACATTCCAAATAATCTAATTGGTAATACTACTGGTCGTCAAGTCATCGCATGGTTTAGACCAAGGTTTCTCAAAGTTGGGACTTAAACAGGGTCAAATAAAATAAGTTAAGATCTAATTTCTTTATAAGAATAGAAACTGATGTAACAAAATTCAAAAAGAATTTTTTTCTATAACTAAGTCTAGTAAAAGGAAAAATAATGATGACATAGAAACAAAATCTATCTGTATAAAAAAATATAGGTATAATAATAACAAAGTTTGAGAACCCCTGGACTGAGGTCATATTAGAGCACCATGCACACGCGTAAGTAAATATTTCGAGCACTACTCATGCTTAGTGAGCTTTAATAGGATATAAACCTTTGATCTGTAGGACTCCGGCGCTATGTGACTGTTAAACACCTGAAATACACGACATAATGCAATGCCTCCATCTCCTACACACAACATGTTAGCATAACCGCAACTGGGGTACATTTAGTTAACATACAGTGTAGTGAGTAAACAAGTGGAGTTGCTAAAAAATATTAAAAATATATATATTTATCCTTGATTAATGTGAAATCTAAGAAAAAAATCACCAAGTGCTGTGCACAAATACAACGGCAAAGGAATTTTGTGGATAGGGTTCTAACAACATCTGTTATTAATTCAAATATACATTTATATTTTTCATTTATATACACTATCATTATTAGTCAGCTCAATAGTGTACATTCAAAATAATGTTATCAGTCTACATATTGTTAATTAACTTACTTATAATATATAAGTCGAATATTTAAGTATTTTATATTAAGAAATATAATTAGAAAACTTATTCGTGTGTTGTATGATGTTTATTTGATGTGTTCTTTTCTTATAATCCTTTAATAATTATTATTTGAAGAGTAGAATGTGTGCTTATAAATGTTTATTTCATTGTAAGAAAATAAGCCTGATTTAACTTGCAAAATAATGAAATGAAATTGAAATAAATCCCAGTTATTCATTGGCTTTTGAGTATTTTATACATTAATTAACAATATTAGGTTTGAAACATACATTGACAAATTTAATTAGTAATTAGTGTACATCTGGCAGTCTAGAGTATATGTATTAATCAAAGTATTAGTATACATTGGTCTATCGAAGTTTGTGCATGTGTCGTGTATCCTGTATGTAAGATCTAGTGTACATTTATCTGTATGTAATTACTAATAAAACCATTATGTATAATATTAATCTGCCTGTGGGTTTTTGAATACTTTTTGTATCGTTTGATTATTAACCAAATCATTTTTATATAGATTATCACGTCTCTCTATGCATGTGTCATATATTGAGTAATATAATTACAGCTCGTAACACTAGTATGTCACGTCTGTATGTGTGCCTGTATGTGCGTGTGCCGCGTGCGTGTACTCACGGGGCTGGAGGGCGGGCGCGGCCAGGGCGAGGGCGTCGTGTCGTAGTCGTCGTGCGCGGACGAGTGCGACGCGCCGCCCGGCGACGGCGACGGCGCCGCGCTGCCCGCGCCGTACTCTTTGCGGCTTTTTGGCGTACCGCAGGGCTCCTCGCCTGACGCTGGAAATGTTATTGTTGTGTTTGAGATATAAGATATAACATTAAGTATGCAACATATTTTGGTTAATTTGTTTTTAAACTATGCAGATTTTTATGTCAATTGAATGTGACAGTTTTAATTAAGCCTAAAAATAAAAATCGATATTGGCACTACATCAGAACGTTTAAATCGAGACACATGTCATTATAATAATCATCATCATTATCATCAGCTTATTCTTATATTAATTATAATTAAAATTACTAAAGATATCTAACCTAACCTAAACCACAAAAACAAAACTCTATACTAAATCACAACTTGTAGGTAACTTGTAGGTAACTTATCAAGCATTGACAAATGAAACAGTGTCATCATGCATATAAACATACAAAATAAATTATACCAAATATGATTTGAAAAATTAATTACCATTAGAAAACAAATCACTACTCGCTAATACAATATTGTATAATATTGTTTATAATTAGCAAACATCGATACTCGATATAACATGTGTTATGGTATGTAGTGTGTTTTGAATGGTATTATAATATAATATTTATTTAGCTATTTATATTTGAACATCTGTATATTATTTACATAACTACAACTGCACGATTTTAGTCTGCTTTATAACAAATAACAATTTTCTTATTACCATAGATTGACTGGAAGAGATTTTTTTAGAGATATCAAATTAAATCAAAATCAAATTATACTTTATTCAAATAGACTTTTACAAGCTCTTTTGAATTGTCAATTTTACACTTTAAATTAAAATTAAATGTCAGTGTAGCCAGTCCGTTAGGAAGCTACCACCGGCTAAGTCAACCTTTGCAAACAAACATTGTATTTTAATTACTGTATTTAATGTTTAAGTACAATAAAGAATACATACCAGCGGAAGCGTTACTGAGCGTGCTCTGCTGGCTGCCCTCGTCGAGCGGCGCGCCGTCCGGGCCGGTGGTGACGAGCGCGGTGGCCGGCGCCGCGGGGCCGTTGTCGTGGCTCTCGCCCGGCGCGGTGGGCGGCGGCATTGAGTCGCCCGGCGGGCCCATGTGCCGGGCCGCTTGCTGTAACCGCGATGGATTGTGAATCAGATGATATCAAATAACTAATAAGCACCAAATAACTAGGCAATTAGAGTAAATGTCGAAAGTGATAATCGTCTGGAAGGAAGACTTTTTTTGATTTCGTTAAAGTAACCAATTATAGGGTATCTGCCAGCTGTCAATGGACAATGAACTGTTGATGAAATAGAGATTCTTACTTACTAAAACCCACAGCGTAACTATTGCCGCAGTGTAGTGTCTTGTTACTTGTTGAACGATCGCTTGCACATACACTACAATACCCCTTGGTACGATGTGGCGTAAGTATTAATACCAAATGATCACCACTAATAAAGTCATCTCTAGACCTAGGTTATACTGCTCTAAGATGAAGCTGGCCATGAAATCCCAGTTTGAACTACAAAATATTCGTCATGTCGGCAGTCACATAGACCACGCTACCAAAGGCCTGGTGCGAGATATCCATTATCTATCTATACATATAATAAAATTGTAATTAAGCCGAATCTGTACATTAGATATTTTTTGGAAAATCTTATTGAAATAAACATTATTATCGATACGGAGGCCGATTCTATAGTTTTTAAAAATTGTGTCTGTCTGTCTGTCTGTTACCGCATCACAGAAAAACCACTGGAGGGATTTTGATTAAATTTGGTATGACGATAGCTGGTTATCCGGGTCAACATATAGGATACTTTTTACCGCGGGAAAATATCTCATTTCTGAGAAAAAATACAAAAACTGCATAGTAAGAGTTTACTAATATGTAAAACCTAAGAATTTAGTTTTTGGTCATCTGAACGCGGGCGGAGCCGCGGGCAATGCTAGTAGTTAATATTAGTACTAGCTTTTGCTACTATCACTTGCGTAGGATTGTCGATAAAATGTAAAATCTCCATTCCAAACAACACTCAAATCCGTTAAGCACTTCTTGAATAAGTATCTAACTCATTTACTTACAAACTTTTGCATTTATAATATTACTGTGATAATATCTAGAACTTCTAGTGTTACGATTACTAAAAGTTAAGATTCTGCCGGTAACTAGTTCATAAAGGAGATGACTTATTCTACGAGAAATACTTTTATTATAGAAAAATAAATATCCACTTTAATATAGTAGCTTTACTTATATTTTATTAAGTGATACGTATTATATAAGAATTATTAGTAGATCTAGACAAAATAATGTACATTTTAGCATTTATTTTATTAATTTGCGCAAATACGGTACAATAACAAATCCTTGTTTATTCTCCCTAATTACTGTGTTCTTAATTGCCAACTAATTAAATCACGCTTTTATCTTAAATCATCTGTCTAACAGCTAACTGTAATCGTGTTAACATAGATTTATAGAATTACTCTAAAAAGATTTTACGATAACAACTTACCTTGAGCGGTGGATAATGTTGGGATGGATGTGGCGGCGGCGTGGGTCGGTACCCGCCATACGGGTACGGGTGGTGGTTGCGTGGCGGGAAGGGGTACGGCTGCGGCGGGTAGGGCGCCGGCTTGTATGAGCCGTGGTGGTAGGGCTGCTGCAGCATCGCGCCGGGCGGAGGCGCCGCGGAGGGCGGAGGCCCGGTGCCCGCGCCCGCACGCGCCGTCGGCCCGCTTCCGTCCGATAGAGACGATGACGGTCGCGGTGGCATCGGTACGTTCTGCGTACCTATAAAATAAAAGAATATTTCTAGTATTCATCATCCAGTATAATGAAATAAAAGAAAAATAAATATATAGCATTTTTAAATACAAATCGTATAAACAACAGATTAAGTAACTATTCAATGCAAAAAATATTTTTTTATCATTGCTTATTAGAATTACTTGAATTCATTTGAATTCGTAAAGAACCATCAACAAATTAGTTACCGTATCAAAACATAGTAATAATGATAAGATTCAATGTTACGATAATCGTCTCACATTAAACATAATGGCGTTTAAGATAACAAACAATTGTAGGATACTTTTATTAGGTCGTAAAATTCCCTTTGAACGAGGTGCGTCGAGTTTCTCATCGATACGAGTAGCAAAGAACATTGGAGTGGTGTGAGCGCTTAGCTAGAAACTTGAATTAAATTGTATTCGAGAGTGCAAGCGTTCGCAGTTTCCGTGTGTCATCGATCCAAGCGTTCGCAGCTCTTCGTACACACAATTTGAATAATACAGTTAACGAGGGCTCGCCTAAGCCGAGCGCGCATCAATCGAGGGCGGAGAGACGCACCAGATCACTTTCGTTTTCCGGCGGCACGTGAGCCGCATACACCGCTAGTCTGCGAATTCTCACTGCACTTTATTGCATCCGTATATGTGCATACGACACACGCAACACATTGACCGAGGCCGAGATACGAACGGCAGTGATTTGCGACGACGAAAGTGGTATTGCAACTTTTATGTGGGTCGATTTGAACTTATGCAGTTATGTAAACGTTATGACACAATTAATTTCCTCTAACGAGAATAGCTAAGCGATCGATGCAAATTATTATCACAGTAGTTGTAGCAGAAGTGGTTCTCATGTTGCCTATCGCATAAACAATACGTTATCACGTTTAGTTAGGGGACGACACTTTAATCTCGTCCGTGAGCAATTATCGGAGCATTATAATATTGTCGGTGCGATCAGACGATCGGCAGACTGCGAGGCGCCGGTGAATCATATTGAATGAGGCATATGCGCCCACCTATAACATATCTATTTGTTTACGGTGACCATTAATGACTGCACAGTAACAGAGTTGCTCGGTCCGGACACTACTCATAAAATAACGTATCGTACAAGGGCATGTCACATCCTAATTTTAATAAAATTTAATAATTTTAACAAACTCGCATTTACAATATTATACAATTTATTTTTGTAGGTAAGTAATTAAACTACATATAGTATACAAGGCCCAATTCAATATACTGATCTATAATAGTGAGTCTTGAAATTTTAAAATCAAAGAATATCTAAGAATATCTAATATGATCATACTCGTAATGTCATCCCGACTGATTTCGATCACGGTGGCCAATCTGAGACTAGCCAACTAAGCAGGAAATATTAAAGTACACAAGTGTACCAGTAACAAACGCGCAGACACCAGTTCACTCGCCATTCCTTTCACTCTCAAATTCCGATAGGACGATAATTTGACACGACCACGACGTGAGAGATGAGGCGCAGGACCAACTCCGAGACACGGGGCTGAAACACCGCCAATTTTTCAAGTCTGGGCTGCTACAGAGACTTTCTTAACAGAAAGACTAACTAAACTTGACCCGAACACCGGGCCTCGAACCCAGGACAACTAGATCTGCAACTGTACATGCTAGCGCCTACACCACTAAGGCAATTAAAAAATAACTACTTATTTAAATACGCTACATATTACTTTAAGTTACATACAATTATTATTATACTTCTTTCAAATAATATAAACATACATAATGAATACTCAGGGATACCTACTATGAACCTACTGGTACAACAAATTATTTTTAAAATTCACAGTTTAAACCAAATTCACGAACACAAAAAGATATTGTAAGTTTAACTGTGTCACTAAACATGGGAATGGCACGGCTGTACAAGAACAACCAGCTCTGTCAAGGGCAGCAGCAGTCCAAGCCGAGGTCTTTACTTTCCCACCTCCGCAATGCGCACTGCCAATCGGACGTAGCGTAATCGTGATCACTTGAATTTCAATATTGTATTATAATCGTGCGTTCTAAATCTGGTGCACACTATATACCACTTCTAAATCTGGTGCACAATAAAGCTATATAAACATTAAGCTAATCTGTGTAACCAAATCACAGATAATAATAATAGTCTACGTTAAACTTAATATTATATCTTGCACTTTAGTCTTTTGTAAAAACACTTAATAACAAATATTAAGTCAAAAGTCAAAGCTATGCAAATACGTTTCCATACAAGTTACTCGTTTTGTGATATTTTATTATGACTATAACAAAGTATATAGAATTTTACAAAATTTGAGTATTAACTTATTGATAATCTAAATACAAAATTAATTGTATTTTCAAATATTTTTCATGATTAAGTAAGACTGAGTGAAATTCCTATCACAAGTTGAAAATGCGTCATCTAAAAGTCGTATCTCTGAATGCCCACGCAAAGATGAATCATCGGCGACCGAGAGGCCACTATAAGCATCTTTGCAACAGGTGATACGATTGTAATTTTCTAAAATTCGTGCCTTAGTCATGCCGGCGGAACAGGAACTTCGCTACAAATATACTGTCGTTCCATAATAAGCTCCAATGTCCAAAATTATAAAGGTGATATTGCAATGGTGCAATATGGTGTAGATAACCAATTAGAGTTTGGCGTACACAGTGAGATGTAGTGGTATATAGCGAGCACAGTTGAGTATCGATATCATATGTGGAGAATGCGGTGTTGCGGGCTGGTAATGTGCGGCGAGCCGCGTACCGCTGAATCCAACAACGGTAGTCCCACATTCCGTGGAAATTATCTATCAATATATAATTGTATGTAGAAAGTATTAAAAACCAAAACAGATTCGACGACACGTTTGGCTCAGTTTGTAGTAACCCTGCTTGCTGTGCCAGCGGTCGCGGGTTCGAGTCCCGCTGGTGGCATTCATTTGTGTGATGAGCACGAATGTTTGTACTCCAGTCATGGGTGTTTATATTTATAATATGTATGTATTTAAAATTATATATATGTGTAGTGTATCAACTATCTGGTATCCATAACACAGGCCTCGTAGCTTACCATGGAACTAGATGGTGGTTGTGTGTTAATGTCCCAACATATTTATTTATTGCTCCCTCTATATATGTATGAGGAAAGCTCTTTGTTAAGAAAAAGTTCAAGTTATCAATTTACATGATTTAAGTATAGTAGGTACCTATATCTATCGTATCATTTTAAAGCATTACGAAGAGGGACGACTCGACTGGTTTTACCCAACAGTATGAAAAAACCTGTTTATTATTATTCTGGACATTTACTAAGACAATTTCCTGTTTTAATTAACTATACCTACATACTTGCAAATATCTCTAAAGATAAAATGATTTAATTTAGTAAAAGTAAAGTTTATGATAAATCCGTTTATGATTCATAGCGACTTAATTAATACCATATGAATGGTCGATGTAACATATTTTATTAATAGAATAACCACGATGCCAAAGCTACTCAATGTTAAGTTAGACGTAAACTTGAATCACAAATATGTATCTGCAAACTGGTTCAATAAGTTATGTATCGTATTGGCCTATTAAACTAATTACGCAAATGTTAGAAGTACCGCGATGTTTACATTTTCTGCTTTATTAAGACATTCCTTGAATCAACTATCTATATGTAATTAATATTTCAGTACAAAAAAATTATATCACGAAACGCTTATAAGCCGAGAAGTGGTTTTAAATTGATGTCTTTAAACTACACGTACATATATTACTACGCTATAAAATAATATTACTACGCTACTAAAGTTAGATCCAAACTATACCGAGACATAAAATGTTTACAGGCTCTTAGACGTGCACCAAGTCGATTGTATGAACAAATGGCTAGTGTACAATGTATCGAGTGCGCTAACAAGAACGGCCTAGTTGAGACAACTGGCGTCACGGAGACCAGAGCTTGTTTGTGGCCCATTTAATTTGATCACCGACGCCACCGCTAATATACAATTGTACTTTATATGTACTGCTAGTTTTAGACACCACAAATGCACGTAAATTGATAAAGATAAAACAAGATAACACATACTATACACATGAGGACTATCGCATATTAAAATTAAGACTGAAACATACTTGATTTTAATTATTTGTAAAAGCAATGACTGATTAGTGATTATCAATTAAAAAAGTTGTAGATATTTACAATACTGGACAAAAAAAGTACGGGTCGTTCAAAATTTAATATTAGAGCTATTATAGTTACAAAAATACATACATAGTTAATGGAGTAGGTACTTTCAAAGCAGTTTTAGAGATAGTTCATAAGTTCATGTTGACATTTTCAGTTTTCACCGGATCATTACAAAAAAAAGCGAAAGCTGAACGCAAATAATTTTACCGCGTAGGATGCCAATTTTAAGCTGGACAAAAAAGTTAACAGCCAAAGAAAAAACAAAAATTTATGAACACACGTGCATCTAATATTTTGTATGACCACCTTTTGTAGCGATAACAGCTTGCTTGTAAACGCCGCGCCGAGACATACTTTCTACTAGATTGCGAATTTGCTGTTAGTCGATTTTGTCCCAGGTCTTTTGCAAGGCATCAATAAGCTTTTCTTTGCTTGTTAGGTCGCCTTTATCAACATTTTGATCTAAAATAGACCAAAGATTTTCGATTGGGTTCAAATCTGGCAGAACGGACGGAATAAAGCATATAATTTTTGAGCTGTATGTTTAAAATCGTTATCCCGTAGAAAAATGAATTCATCCTTCAGGCCAATTTTTAGTAGTGTTTCCTCCAGATTTTTGTTTACGATATCAATATAAACGTTTGCGGTCATGATACATACCATTGATTGGAACCAAATATCCCACTCCCGAGCACGGAAAACAGCCCCACACTAAGACAGTTTCTCCTCCGTGTTTAACAGTCTTTTGAATATATTTTTTTCGAGGAGCTGTTCTCCAGCCTTGCATCAAACAC